GACAGGAAACATTCATCGGCGCGGAGGTCAAGAAGAATGAATACCTCCCTGTCTTCTTGCAGTATGCTGACAACCGACTGAGATCCCATAGCTCGCCAATGGGCATGCCGAATAGACTCAAGAAGTAGGGGTGGAGGACTTGAGCAAAGGTTAGCCGGTTTCGTCCTGCTATGGTTTTCTTTCCGCATATCACAATGACGTACCAAGATCAGTCATTCCTGCTGGAGTTCCGTCTGGCTTGACAGGTGGAAATGCCTCAAAGGCGTTAGAGTCGCCAGCAACAGCAGCAAAGTGCTTGTTCCAGAACCACTTGGCTGTCTCCTCCGTACCATGCACGCCCGACAACTTATACTGCCCCAACTTGGCGAAATCGTCCGCTGTAGGCTTGTCTATGATCTCAGTGATGCCTGTTCTAAGCAAGAAAATGTCGCCATGCTTGAATTCTACGCCTTGATGTTTAGCTACAGCCTCAATGTCTTCGATGGTGATGCGGTAGCCCTCCATGGGATGGTAGTCGATGCCCTTCGCGTCAGCGTATGCTTTGTAATCGATCAAGACTCCGCGACCCACCACGCCACCTCGCTCATGCCAGTGGTCAATGGTGGGCATTTTGTTTGATGCCGTAGATGTCGCTGATAGTTCTTCTTGTGTTGGCTTGAAGCCATTGTAGGCGAATCCCGTCGGCTGATGCTGCCAGTGGACTAGACTGTCCCACTGACTGCTACCTTGCGTGTTGAAGTCCAGCTCGTCGTCCCAGCCAATCCCTTGACTGAGTCCGGCTGCCTGCAGCGAGTGCACCTTATGAACTGATTGCTTGCGTCCTGGGATAGCCAGCTTGTTCATGCTATCCAAAGGCCAGCTATGCACCATCTTGTCAGCCACGAAACGTCTGTTCCAAGTAAGGTAGCATGCACTGGTGATGTTGACGTCTTACTTCAACGAGATGGATACGCCATCGCGGATCTCGGCGCTGGCTGCCTTCACAACTGGAGGGGTGAGCAAGTTCAAGGTCCCGAAGAGGTCTTTCTTTCCATCCTTGTCGAAAAGTCCCCAGACACAGCCCTTGGGCATGCCTTCAACCAGCGGAAGGTCATCATAGTCAGGAAGGTTCAACTCGTTTCCTGGGGCGGTATCCATGATCTCGAATTGTTTGAAAGTCAGCTACGATATGCCGGTATGAAAGGATGGCTTTGAAGAACCTGCGGCTATTTCTTGTTGAAGAAGCAGAATTTCGGTCTGTGTATTCACTAAGCACACAAGGAAACAAGCCCAGCGATGATGCACCAGGCTGGATAGTCAGATACCTATCTCCTGTGTGAGCCCCTCGCTTCGCTTGAGGGGTAAAGTCAGGGGTTTGAGGTTGAGGTAGACAGGGGATCAACGGTGGTGCGATGGGTACTAAAGTGGATATAAATGTCAGTTGGCGGTTAAGTAATAGATCGTGGACCATCGCCATGCAGTTGTGTCCAGACCGAATGGAAATCCAAACCTCAATCTTCGAGCAAAGAGCACGAGCAGAACATTGGGGGATACCTTTCTCTTATTCCCCAACTGACAATGAAACCTACTTAGTACTGATGTGCCATGTCCATGACTGTGTTGGGCTCTCGGATCACTCTATGAATTGACATCAAGAGGAAGACCTCCACAACTTGACTGCACTGATTGGAGGATCTGGTCCACAGCCGATGGCCGCGCGCTGATCTGCGCCATTCGAACGTACGGATAGATACTTTTGTAATCGGTACCTCAGACACCGTTCTCAAGCTCATGCACAGACTAACTGACCTTTGTCGCCAGCACGTGGTCAAGATAGGCTCGGTCATCTCGTACCCCGCTGCATTAAACTTTGAGTTGATGTAAGTGTCAGGCCCATCCCAGTACACTCGTTACAACGATCGTCACACTATGCCTATGAAACAATATGGTCTTACACAAGCATGACTAAGTTTGCCAAGGATATGTCAGTATAAAGGGTCTTCCACTCACTATATAGATAGTCGGGATATTCCCATAGCCACTCGTTCTTCATACTCATCAATACATCCCATTGACCCCCTACCTGATAATCGCTGCCCAACAGTAAGCTTATTCCTAGTTCTAATAACACATCGCCGGAAGAGTTACGTTTGGAGGCGAGACGCGCATGAACGTCAACATCGCCCGTCAGTCCTCATCTTTTGCTAAGTTAGTTGTGACAACGGGCGTGCTGGCTGTGGCACACGGCGGTCGCTCCCGCGTAGTCTAGCGGGAACTACCCGTTCATGGGGTCATCTGATCGGTTTCGGTCTCGTAGCGGTGGGCCAGTCGCGTTGATGGTCTCGAAACCGAGCGCTCTGCACGGGGCAACGCGCAGCGAGCCGTTAGACAATGACACCATTGACTCATGATGCAGCAGCAGATGCACCATCCGCCAGGGTCTAGACGGGACACGCAGGTTCGTCCCCTGGTTCCCTGAAGTTTCAACCTATACCAACACTCTCAACTAATATAGCCCACCAAGACATGCAGGTGGTGTTTGACTCCAGGCCACGCGGAGTTTGTCATATCTGGCCGTCTTTGGACGACAGCTTCTCCGCAACAACTACCCATGCAGCGGAGCAGGAGCCGGACCCTTAAAAGCCTGGCGGGTCAATGTAGATCCTGAGATCGTTTTGGTCCGGTAGAGGACGAGATCCACCATCAACTACCGCATCTTTCATTGAGCGATGTTGCTATGTTGCACTAGAAATGCGACGAACGAATACGAATACGTCCGTGTCGATCTGGAGACACTGGTCCCTCCTGGCCAAGCGAGCAATGGCTCGTCGGGCAGATAGCACTCCCCGACTAGTCCATAGATTGAAGCTCTAATACGACGACCCGCAATCACGCCCCGGCTCAGAGATATTGTGTTACGCGGGGATGCTTGGCCCTCTTCTACCTTAGGGAACCCCAATTGAGACCAGACGACAGACGCGGCCATGGAAGATGTCACTAGAGCTGTTTGAGGACACCGCTTGGACTGCTCTCAGCGGACATGTGCCCCCATATTTCGGCGACTCAAAACCAGAGGATTTGCCTCCTCGAAGATGATAGATAGGTAGTAGAGCAGGATCACCTACCTCAACTACAACTCAGCTTGACCTGCAAATCAACGTCAACATGGCTGCACCTCCACAGATCACGGCAGACACCGCGGCCGGTGCCGCTGCGGTCGACTTCATGGCCCTCAACAAGAAGTACACCGAGGAGAAGGAGAAGCGTCAGCGGTCTGACGGCAACGCGCAGTACATCGAGATGGAAACGGACGCGCAGTTCAGCAAATTGGCACAAGATCCATGGGTCGACCATGAGGAACTCAACGCCCAGTCACCGAGCCTCAAAGACGGCGACGACGTTAAGTTCGTTATCCTTGGCGCAGGGTACGGAGGCTTGCTGTTCGCCATCCGATTCATCCAGGCCGGCTTCAAGCCCGAAGACATTCGCCTTATCGATGCTGCAGGCGGGTTTGGTGGCACATGGTACTGGAACCGTTATCCCGGTCTCATGTGCGATGTAGAATCCTACACCTACATGCCGCTCCTCGAGGAGACCGGCTATATTCCGAAGCATCGATACTCATATGGAAACGAGTTGCGAGCTCATGCAAACCGGATGGCAGAGACATGGGACCTGACAGATAAGGCTGTGTTCCGCTCACAGATCAAGAGCAACGAGTGGGACGAGAACTCCAAGCGATGGATCGTGGTCATCGAGCAGGTCCGCGGCCCGAATAAGTCGCCAATCACTATGACTGTTCGATCCCAGTTTGTTGTTCTCGCCAACGGTGTTTTGAACCACCCCAAAGCGGCCAAGAACCTCGAAGCCTTTGAGGGTGACATGTTCCATACTGCAAGGTGGAACTACAACGTCACTGGTGGAAACACGGAGGACCTTGAAAACGTCCAGCTCACTGGCCTAGAGGGAAAGCGGGTTGGCATCATCGGCACTGGTGCGACTGCCATCCAGCTCGTTCCACAGCTGGCCAAGTGGGCAAATGAGCTCTACGTCTTCCAAAGAACGCCGTCATCTGTAGACGAGAGAGGCCAGAGGCCCACTGATCCAGAAGAGTGGAAGAAGATTGCCGACGGCCCTGGCTGGCAGAAGCGTCGCCTTGAGAACTTCAATATTTTCGTTTCTGGCGGCGAGGCAGAAGAGAACTTGGTAGATGATGGCTGGACGAAACTGAAAACCTATAAAGGCCTTGTCGGCGCACCACATGAGAAGCCTCTTGGATTAGAAGACATTGCCGCCCACATTGGGGGTCTTCTCGCCTTAGATGCACCAAGGTCAGAGAGAGTCCGACGCCGCGTTGAGGAGATTGTGAAGGACAAGTCAGTTGCCGAAGCTCTGAAGCCGTGGTACCCAGCATGGTGCAAGCGACCGACCTTCCATGACGATTACCTCCCTGCGTTCAATTTACCAAATATCCACCTTGTTGATACAAACGGCAAGGGAGTTGACCACGCCACCAAGAACTCACTCGTCGTCGACGGCGTAGACTACCCGCTCGACGTCATCGTCCTGAGCACAGGATACAGACCGCCTGCAGCAGACATGGCTGAGCCATCGAGTAGATCCAACATGACTATCAAGGGCCGGAACGGCGAACTCTTGTCGGAGAAGTGGTCAGGCAAGGGCCCGTCCACCCTTCACGGCGTCCTCACCAATGGGTTTCCAAACTTGTTCCTGACCGGCCCCTTGCAGATCGGCACCACAGCAAACTTTGCTTATGCCCAGGACGTCCTCTCTCAACACTGCGCATACATACTTGTCGAAGCTATGAAGCGCGCGGGGAAAAGCACTAGCGAGGTGGTCATCGAAAGCACATTCGAGGGTGAAGAAGCATACGTCGGCTTGATTATGCAGCATGCGGCGTGGTTCTCCAGCTTATCTATCTGCACACCAAGCTACATGAATAACGAGGGCGAAAAAGCCCCGCCCGAGGCGCAAATGAAGTTGGCTAGAGGAGCACCGTTCCCTCATGGAATGAATGCCTATGTGAGATTTCTCGAAGATTGGCGGGCCAATGGCATGATGAACGGTGTTGAGGTTACAGCATAGCGATTGCGGCATCTGAAGATTGACTTTTGAGCATCTCAGGGCAAGACTTGATCGATATCGGAGGTAAGCCAGGACTTCTAATCGTGGAAAACGTCCTGAACATCACTATTGCCCGCGGTGCAATCGAACTGCTGTGTTTCTCATCTGGTCTACGAGCAAGTTTCAGCGAGCGCAACCACATAGATGGATTCTTACTAGCCATGCAATCGTGGAGTGAAGTTCGAGCATGTTTTATTGAAAGCTCAGCAGCTACTCAGGTAGAAGAAAATTGCCATGATTCAAGACCCTTTTCCCCATTCCTTTTTCACGATGCAGTGATGGTCGCCCTTGACGAATTGAAATTGTGATGACGCAGCTACTATCTAGAGTCAAGTGAACAAGGTAAGTAGGTAACACTGTCGTTGAACATCGGCATAGTCGAATCTCTTTTACGGGGTTCTCCGAGAGGAATCAATCTCTTCCTAGTACTCGCTACATTTTTTTATCAAGAGGTCATATCTTGCCGGCTGGTTTCTTGCCAAAAGAGCGAATCTCGATAAGCTTCCTAGTACTCAAGCAGCCTTTCGTTGACTTGATCTGAGACAGATCACAGTCCTTTCCATTGCCACCTAGTCACAATCTAAATCAACACACTTGCAGCACTATTTTGGGCTGTCCTCGAAACGTGTCATGCTCTGAGTGCCTGGGCCACCAAACCCTACCGTGTTTGCAGTTAAGAAGTGACACAAGCGTTTAGATCTACGAACTGGAGCTTCTTGCTGACCGCTTGGGTTTAATTGCTGCAGTGCGTCCTGACCCGGGCGGTTAGCCGCCTCGAGACTGTCAGTGGATGTCGGAGAGGTTACCATTTATAGAAGATGCGGCATTGGCTGGAGACAACACATCAGTCATTCGCAACTATCATAGGTCGAAGGGAGAATGCTTAAGCGACATGCAACACGTGATGGAAGACGCCTTTTTTGTCGTCAAACGAACAAGGAATGAATTCCCCCGTTGATTGACCAGCATTGAAAACCCACGCTTATGTGCCTCAAGATCCCCCTTTCCCAAGAATAAGATGGCGGTCTAGTATCATATTCAAATCCCTCTGAAGATCAATCAGCACGGAAGGAGATATCGTTTCAGGATTACATGCGGCCGAATTCATCGTTGCAAACAGCCAATTCACTAAGAGCATCCAAACACTGAAGGTCCTTCTCCGTTGCTGTACGTGCAGCCTGTTCACTTCTGAAGATATTACAAAAGTCTTGGAGTGGCAGCTTCCAGTCTTGTGCGGTGGCTCACATGAGAAGATAGTGTCGGAACGGCAAGGCTGATAAGGAGCAATGGGCAGGTATCGTGGGCTGGCTGGCGCCTGCCCGGGGCGAAATGGGACAACCGGCTTAGTCATCACGGCCGGTTAAGGTGGGGTGACAGAATCCATGCATGCTTATATGCGAGTCATAGGTATAACCCATTCGCAATGGTCTAAACATACTGAAACAGGCCAGACTGTCATTTCCACCTGGTCCTAGCTCTAGAGACGTATTATATTAAGGTAGCATTAGGCCCATAAGCCTGTGGGAATCCTTCCACTCTTTAGTACGAATAGACGCTCTTTTCTGCTCACTCATATATGCATATTCCGCTGGCCACCCTGACTAACCGTCATGGGGCAACCACCCAGGCCGTCCCCACCTACTTCGATCGGTCCCTGCCCACAATGTAAATAGGAACAAGAACAACAACAGCAATTATCACGGACATCGAAGTGATTGCTGCCGAAGATACACCCTCATGAGGGAATGTATCACGCCTGTGATACCAACAGATAGCTTTGCGAGTCTGTCGAGAGGGTGACAGCTGGAGGGTAGACACCCACAAGGTTGACGCGGCGCTGTCCTTGTGGCTATGTTCCATTGCCGAAGAACGCCGGGAGAACGAGTCGCCAGTCAAGGTTTCATCCGACGATAAATCAAGGACCTTCATTCAGGAGGCAGATCCATCTGCTAAGAAGGAGAAGGTCAGTAGACCAAGACCGAACCTTTCTTCCGAGTTTCAGACCAAGCTTCATCTGGCAACGTCAACAACAAACTTGCACCGGGATCTCCAGTGGTGGGTACCAAGGGACTTGTTACGTATCTCCCACTACAAAGTGGGTGATCTTGAATTTCCCGAAGGAGACCGAACAGAAGTTCATAGCAAGGGTGACAAGGACCTCTTAGCGATGGATTTCCGTGGCTCAAGGAAGACTCTCTGCCGCCAGAAGCTATTCTCGGCGTTTATGCTAGCTGTGGCAAAAAGAATGGAAGAACCGGACAATTGGGTAGCCGATGAATTGCAAACTGAGATGGCAGTTGTTGACATGGAGTGGGATAAGTTCCAGCTTCGGAACCAGACGCTTTCACGCATGGTTCAAGACATCAATGCAACTGGGTTAGGAAATCTGGGGGAAATTTACACAAGCGTTATTACTCCCTTAAGTCAATACCGAAAACTCCCACAGCTCAACAAAGTCGTTGAGTGGGCACAACAACACGCCGAGCGATTTGCAAGACTTGAGGATTGGGGGAAAACGAAAAAAACCCTCGAGCGGCTTTGCAAAGTCATTGAAACACCTTCTTTGACCGCCAGGGTTGAAGTAATCTTGATGGGTCATTTGCGGAGGGTTTTGTTGACCATCAAATTTGGGGAAGAGAAGGAATACAACGAAAAGGACCGTTCATTTAACTCGTTGATGATGTTGAGAGACATGCTCCAAGAGAAGCTGTCACAGACGAGGCAACTCAGAGCAGGCCCGGAAGAAACCTCGAAACACCAACAAAATCCAGCTTATCAGAGATCAAACCTCATCAGGCTCTTTGACCAAATTACCTGCGAACTGCCACAAGGTCTACTTCTGTAGGCAATGCTTCACAAAACTCAGGCAAAACGCTTCAACGATCCGAGGGATGCATGCCGCTCGTCAATGAAGGCATGTTACGCTACGACTTTCAACCTCAACGCACTTCATTTCGAAGCTTTGAAATGTGGCTATCACAGGGGTATGTCCTCTTTACGCATTAATATATTCTACAATGAAGAAGGGGAGCAGTTGGTCAACTCAAAAGACATACTTGATCGGACACCGGCACAATACACCGTGACAAGGCTGGGTAGTCCATCCAGGGTCCGTTCGCTGAAAGGAATAGGAGCGGATCTTGATGCCCAAGACCTATTAGGTTGGACACCTCTACATTTTGCATGCTGGGCTAGTCAAATTGCCACCGCAAGATCAGTCATCCAGGCAGGCGTTTCTCTCAACCTCCAAACCAACGACGGATCAACACCATTACACTATGCGGTAACTCAAGGATGTATAGAATGGGTCCGTGCGTTGGTTGAAGCGGGAGCGACAGTCGATCTGCGAGACTTCCACGGAAATACGCCGATACATTTAGCTGCTTTTAGGGGCTATTCCGACATTGTATAGATTCTGTTAGAGAACGCAAGTCGAGACCTCCGAGATCGTTTCGGCAGGACTTCGCTACATCAAGCAGCCCTAGCAGGACACCAGGACATTGTTGGGCCACTGGCTCGAAGTGGGATGTTTCTGGATGCTAGGGATCGTAACGGCCAAACGGCATTGTCGATAGCCGCCAAAAACGGCCATACGGCCTTTGTTGAAGCTCTGGTCAGCAGCGGTGCGGACATCAAACTAGAAGATGAAAAAGCAAAGACGCCTCTACAGTGGGCTGCAGAATTAGGCCACGGAGACTGTGTTGGAATACTCCTCACTCATGGTGCTCCCACGGAGCCAAAAGCCGACGGGAAGCTGACACCCCTTCACTTGGCTGCTCAATCAGGGGACTATGACTGTGTCCGCAAACTTCTTGATAAAGGCGCCGATGCGGATGCCTTAGATCACGGCGGTGACGCACCGATTCATCTTGCTGTCCAATCAAGTAATCCGGATACCGTCAAAGCACTACTCAGAAAGAGTCCGAACGCAAAGTTGATAGAACAACCGACTGGGCGGACAACACTGATGTTAGCCTCCGCAGCTAGTCAGACAGAAGTTCTTGAGATCCTTGCCGAGCATGGCGTCAATCCTCAGCTGAAAGATTTGTCGGGCAGGCATGCCTTAGAACATGCGATTTACGGGAGGCGTCATAAATTAATTCATATGACCAGTAAGACCCTAGTCGGGTTGGGCGCCAACGTAGAAGCCCGTGGGATAAAGGGAGAACACCGCTGATGGCTGCTGTTGACTTCTTAGCAGGGGATACTGCGCTGCTTGTTGTCAGACAACTGCATGATTGCGGCGCTGATATCGAGGCAACTTGTCCGAATGATACGACAGCATGAGAAGTCGCCATTGAGAAGCACAAAGAGGATATTGCTCACTTCCTACTGTCCATCAGAAGATCGCGTGGAAACCAGGTGCCTGAATGGTACGCTTGGCCTTCTGAGAATGAGCTTTTAGTGTCGGAAGAGTAAGGGTGGGCTCGAATGTCTAGTGGTTGGACCTCAAGCTTCGGAAACTCCAATTCACAGTTGGTACTACTTTCTATTTCAAGACGACGTGTAACAATGATTGTGCCCCTTCAAAGTGCAACTATGGCTAACTATATGTAGCTACACACGACATAGAGAGTCAAAACTTTCTCGAAATAATTTTATCCGCAGCTAGAACCGCGAACGTAGGCATGATTCTGCTGGCCACCTGCCGAGTTACCATAGGCAGAACCTTGATAGCTGCTAAGCAAACTACAGCTTGTACTGCTGCCCTGGTAGAAAGAAGCAGCAACACAAGCCGAGTTTGCAGCGCACTTCGAAATGCAATCGCCTAAGCTTGTAGCATCAAGGTAGCCAAGATAGTCTCCCGAAGCAAGCCTGCCACAGATGATTTGAAACTTCTTGGAACTCAGTGTCCAACAGTATCCATCGTTCGCGGAACATGTGGGATTGCTGGTCACCGTACCACCGCATGCTGAGCCAGGGCAGGTTGAACATGTCCCCGGTGAGAAGGAAGACTGGCATCCAAAGCCACAGAAGTCGCTGCCAGTGTTGCAGTACCCATTCTTTGAGCTATCATATGGCTTGTCAATGCTCTGATGCCAGAAGATAGAAAGAAGTATTGTCTAAGACTTACCAGCACAATCCGGAGGGGCAGGTATAGTCATTGGAGCCACCACATGTGTTGTCTGGACTTGTCTTGGCGCCAGTGGACGCGGGCTGCGCTGCCGAGGAAGATGCAGCAGCCCCTCCACCTGAAGAGGAAGAAGAGCAGGTTCCAAAGGAAGACTGGCAGCCGGTGCTGCAGTGATCGGTACTTGAGCCACAATATCCCCATTGACTACAGCAGTCACCAAAGTTGCTTCCTCGGCAGGTGTTTCCACCTGTTCCACCACAAGTTCCATCCTGGCTGACCGTTTTGCCGCCATTGGTGACGGAGCTGCAGTCGCCAAACTTTGACTGGCAAGAGTTGAGGCAATGAGCGTCCGTGTTGCCGCAATATCCCCACTGGCTGCAACAGGTTCCGAAAGAGCTTCCCTTGCAGGTGTATCCCGCAGTGCCACCACAAGTGCCATCTGAGCTGACCTTGCCGTTGGTGCTGGTGCTGCCGCTCCCGCTGCTGCCGCTCCCGCTGCTGCTAGAACTAGTTGTGCATTTACCGAATTTGGATTGACATCCTGTTCCGCAGTGCGCGTCGGTTGTTCCGCTATTAATATACTAGGTCAGTCTTGACAATTTCTCGCAGTCTTGCGCATCACCTCAACTTACCACCAGCTGTATTGACTGCAGCATTGAGATCCCGGACAGGTGTAAGCGTTGGAACCTCCGCAGGTCTGGTCCGGAGATGTCGCCGCTGCAACGATTCCCGCCAACAACAGTAGACAAGAAAGGGAAAGTCTAACCATCTTTTCTTCAAAGGCGACAGGGGATTGATGGGTATTGACCTGATATCAAATAAAGTTGATGTCTGTGATTGGAGGCCGCAAGAGTTGGCGCAATTCCAATCTGGATGATACGATATTTAAACACCGGCTAAGTTGAGGTATCCTCTAAATAAAGATTTCGGTGCTATTTTGGTGGTCATTGCTTGCGGACATAGCGGTCACGGGGACCATTCTCAGACTCTCTAGGGCAGGTCTAAGCCTTGGGATTTTGTCTTCGAGCCTAACGACAGGCTACGCTTCATTCCGTTTCCGGTCGTCAATGATCAGAATCCGTGACTTCACGCACCCTTCCGAAAGGAATGGCATGAAGTCCTTTGGCCGGATCTGTCCGATCTATGCGTCCGGCCCGAGGAGATGGCATGACTATCGTCTCCACGATCGGATCTACAAAATTGGTGCTACCGCTCACGCCGCTCTAGATTTCCGAGAACTTGTCCTACCTTCAACCGGCGCTGCGGGGTGTCTGGGTGAAATCAGGTGTTGGCCGAAAACGGGAATAGACATTAATCTAAACGGAATGGCTTCAGTCTAGATTACGTGCCGCAGAAATGGCAAATATTTGCGCACTATTTGTGGCTGAATTGACGTTGCTATCTTTTGACATTGGATGCATGCTGAGCCAGCGTGCCAGCCTGCTGGCGCTTCGTCTGATGATGATCAGATGTCTCAAACTATCACTGTTGCTTTCTTCGGTTCGGCTAGGTAATACCTCCACGCTTTTATTAAATAAGGTTTGAGATCTCCATGTTAATGTCCAACCTCATTTCTAACGTCCATACTCTTTTGGTGAGAATCCAGCGTTTTTCCTCTTTAATTTCTCTTGACATTTGAGGGTCTGTTCTTCACACAAATACTCTCTGCTAGAGTCCGCGTACAAACAGGTCACGCACTTGTAGTTAAGGTACTTAAAATAAGGCCTGTGAGACCAGTTCTCAAGCCCAGGGGGCGCTGGACCGTGCGACGATTCTCTGAACACCTCAGGGCAAGCATTTTCAGCTCTTAATGCAGTCACAGGGACTTCCAGTTACCCACATCACAATACTTATCACACATCACATAAATATGATACTTACACCATGAGAGGACTCTTCCGCGGAATGGCTCGACGCATCGACATTTGCTGGCGTGCAGGATTCCAAGTCGTGGTCGGATCGGTGGCAAGTCATTCATACCATTATGCAGTGAAGAGTGCTAAATGGATTATAATACGAGCCAGTAGAAGATCGTCGGTTTTGTGAGGCGATCATCAACACAACAAATGGCAGAGACACGCTCTGAGCTTGCGATCGGGTAGACCCAGGGATATAGACACAAATCTTGCTGGAGTAGATCATCAATCGGAAGGGTGGCCGAGTTGGTTATGGCGCCAGGTTAAGGTCAGCTTAACATCTGTTTCCTGGTGGGGCAACCCGCGCGAGTTCGAGTCTCGTCCCTTTCATTTTGAAGTTTTTGGCAATTTCTAAGACTGGTCAAACCTGTAGATCATAGTTCCACTCCTTCTACTCCGTATGCAAGCCTTTTTGCTAGCAAAAGAATGGAGTTTTCATATCTTCATCGGCCAAATGTGTCTGGTCGATGTGAGTAGGCGAGGTTGAGCGAGAAATGGCCTGGTATCTGAATGACTATCTCCCTGTGCTTATAAGTCGTTTCGGTAATTCAAACTCAATAACACAGAGTTTATGACTCAACCCACTTGGAAAGGCTTTCATTGATGCCTAGTTTACGTAGTCACGTAAATATTCTCGACAAGTAGTCGCCCCATTTCTGGCCGTGGTATCCATCCGAATATCGGGAACATACAATGCCGCAGTTCATTAGTACAAGTCACTACTAATCAGGATGTGTACCACGTAGCCATTTCCCCCAGGTATATATTGCCGTTTGATAAAACCGTAATATATACCATCAAGGAAGAAAGTTTCCGTGAGATGATCCCAACGTGGTACTAGTGCCAAGTCTCGGTAGTAATTCGCAATACCGCAATGATCTAGCCAGAAAAAGAAAGAAAGAGGGAAAAGTTCCGCTTTAAGTTCCGCTCTTGTTGCTTCACAGGCAGGCCGTACTCCATGAGATATCTGTATCAAAGAGACTGAAACTCGAAGCGATCACTTAGTTCTTTCAGGTCTCAAGGCTACGCGGGAAATAACTTGGTTGTTAACAGTATTGAGATCCATCCCATCATCCTCAAGGTCGCGGTACTTTGTAGCCCCGAATGTCCACACTAAGTCGAATAGTTGCCTAAAGATTGAGTGAGTCGTTTATCCGTCACTCCGTGTAATGAGTGGTTGAAATTTCCGGGACGAATTCGGCATTTCGGTTTTCTGCCCCCCTGAGCCTGAAGTTCGAGACAGTAGATTTCGAGCGCCTACCAAAAAGCTGGTCAGATCGAGAACGATTTTCTTGCCATATTCAGAATTGGATCATGTATTAAGTGTTGGGGGTTCATCAACACGAAAGCTCACTTAGCTCCCCTTACTCCAAGCCTGCGATCCTCGGAAATCACTACTGAGTTCGATAATGAAACTCTTCTCAGGTCTTTCGGGCCTTGCTCTGGCTCAGCGTACGTTAAAGAATCTTAAGACATGGTGCCCTAATTACCTCACTGACTGTTCACCTAGTATCAATGAAGTTACTCGCTGCAACTGTCCCAAATGACCCCTTTGACTACATCGTTGTGGGTAGTGGCCCAGGAGGTATCGTCACTGCTGATAGGCTTTCTGCCAATGGCAAAAATGTGCTTCTGATCGAGAGAGGACCCCCATCTGAAAGAAGATGGGGTGGGAGTAGGTCCCCTCAAACCACCAGTATATTGACAAGTTTGACAACACCAGGTTCTAACGGTTTTGTGTATAGGGCGGAGAGGAAGATGGCTTGAAAACTCGAATCTCACGAGGTTTGACGTTCCAGGCCTTTACGACCTCATATGGCAGGACAGCGCCGACATCAAGTGCCCGGACGTTGTGCCTATGGCAGGCTGTGTCCTAGGTGGTGGATCCGCCATCAACGCAGGCCTCTGGTTCAAGGTAAGCATGTCTGTTCCCCTAGTTTTGTCGTCGTGGCTAACATCTGTAAGCCTCAAAGCTTGGACTGGGATTCCCAGTTTCCTGATGGTTGGAAAGCCGAGGGCCTCTCCGCTGCCACGGATAGAGCTTTCGAGCGTGTACCGTGGACTAGTATTCCTTCTAGCGATGGGATTCTGTACAATTGCGAGGCTAGTGACTTGATTGCGAAGGGACTCGTCAGTGACGGATGGGCTAGCGTTGGGGCAAACAGTGAGCCTAATGCTAAAAACAAAACCGTCTCACAGTCAGAGTACTTCTTCCAGCACGGAGAGAGAGGAGGGCTCTTAGAGACCTATCTGGTATCAACAGCAGCCCGTGGAAACTTCAAGCTTTGGATGAACACACTCGCCACCAGAGTAGAGAGAAACGGAGGTAGCGTCACTGGTGTGCAAGTTGAGCCTTCTGGTGACGGCGGCTACAATGGCACTGTCAAGCTTGCTTCAGGCGGCCGAGTTATTCTCTCCGCAGGAGTGTTTGGCACAGCTAAGATTCTGTTTCGGAGTAAGAGATTTCCATCTAACAAACACCGAGATTGCTTCGGAAGTTCTAACCATATGGATAGGCGGGATTGGCCCCAAAGATCAGCTAGACGTCATCCAGAAAGCAGAGCCAGATGCACTCATCGACTCTGCCCAATGGATTGACCTTCCGGTTGGGCACAACCTCGATGATCATTTAAATGTACCACTCATTTCCAAAGTCCCTTCGTCTCCTTAGCTAATCCGTTCAGACAAATATCATGTTCGAGCATCCGGACATAGTGAACTACGACTTCAACAGCGCTTACAACAACCCTATTTCAGATGATGCAGCAGCATATCTTAGTGAGATCACAGATCTGCCCTTGTAAGATAGTTTGACTTAATTAACTAACAGTGGTTGTACAGCCGACAGATCAGGCATTTTGACCCAAGCCGCCCCGAACATCAATCCCATCTTCTGGGATGCGGTCAAAGGAGACGATGGCATCGACAGGTGGTTTCAATGGACGAATTATGTTGGTGAACCACAAAGAAACAAGATATACAGTGCGTACATTTGGTAACATCCCTACTTTTAGATGACCGTCACTAATAGCCACAGATACTTCCGAAATTGCAGCTGCCCTCGGACTAGGCAAGACTTCGAGGGGACGCGTCACAATCAACTCGTCCCTTGTTATGGATGTCAGCGTGCTTCTTATTTCAATGACGACGGAAACAATGACTTCGAGGCCGTTGTGGCTACTGTTAGTGGGGTCGTCAAGGCGATTTCTTCCATTCCTGGAGCCACGATGATCAACCCTGCCCCTGGTCAAGAAGTACGAGATTACGTTCGAAATGTGAGCAAATCATGCTGTCCTTCTGAAAATTGATATGAACATGGGCTGACTCAATCGTGTGAATAGTTGGCGGTTAATGCCGGCCGTACCGCCAATCACTGGGTCGGAACCGCTCGTTTTGGAACCGACTCTGCCCTGGAGGGGGGTAAATCCGTCGTCGATCTCAACGCGCAAGTTTATGGAACCAGAAATTTGCATGTTGTTGACGCGGGAATACTCAATGGGATTTTTACCGCGAATCCGCAAGCTGGTATTGTTGTTGCTGCTGAGAAGGTCGCGGAAGCTATCATCAAACTCCATGAGTAGACCGGAGCTTTGTCGCCGTGTTTGCCCGTAATTGTGGTGGTGAAGACTTCAGAGAGTCACTCAATTGTTTTCTTTAAGGCATCCTCGCCTATGCGAACCTCGGTAATAAAAGACTGGCAGACAAGCTTTCTGACCCGACGGTCTAGTGGTTGATTGTCATCATGGTCTCTGTGAAGACATCGAAATTGACGCAAATACGCCATCAAGGAGAGCCTCAGCACTTTAGGTTCATCGATCCCTGTAAACTCGTACCCAGACGCGCAGCTTACTCGCACGTCCGCATTTTCCAAAGCCTGTTTGGCACGTCTGGCAGCAGTGAGCAGCTCAAGTCCCAAGCCGTCAACCGGATCTCGGCACGAACGCCTGGAAGTGACGTCTTTAGCGCATTGCAATTCACTTCCAAGTTCAGATGACCTTCCTGTTTGGTGATCGTTCTTACATTTCCCGAGAACTTCGGGGGTCGCAATCAGCCGTCCAAAGTTGTAAACAAGCAGAAATTTCCACAGCTTACAAAGATCAATGGTTCAACGTCTAATTCTGTGACCGACTCGAAAGTTGATGATCAGGCCTTATCAAGTTGCTAGTTGCCCAGTGCTGTAGACGAAGCTTTGAAATCTCGGAGCGCTTCCAGCGCTAGCAGCAGCACCGTCACTACTGTCGCGGCACATTGCGAGTCATTGGCTAGACTCGCAAATTCCTCGCGTCTTGAAGCAGTACGAACCCTGACTTCGCGTGAACTTACCAGACGAGAGCACCCCAAACGTGCCGCCTGGGCGCATCAAGGGATCCTTGGCTTCGTTGGGAGCACCGCATAGTTAGACACCGGGCGAGTTCGTGCAAGACGTTCCTGAACTTTCGATTTGCAACTTCATCATCCATCACAGCGGCTATCGACAACTTCGCGTCCATTGCCGATTGCGAGGGGTCTTTCGGCCCTGCTGTGACGGTTCGCAGCAACCGATTCGATTTCACTCTCCTCTTCGAACAGTCTATCCTGAATATTGGCCCGTCTGCTGTATTGCTTCTGGCTCTCCCTTTACGGCTGCAACAGCTTCTCCACCAACGCCGCAAAGTTCTACGACATCCGTCGAATGCCGTCAAGATCGCGACGTGCATTGTCTTTGGCGGACTTCAAATCGCCTTGCTCACGTTATGGGCACAAGCACCGTTTTCCAGCCGCGTCTCCATCGCTGCCGCAGTTCTCGGCGTTATAGATGCCTTCGCTCTCACTCTCCTCAGCCATGCAGAGCATCTCCGATCCATTCGACCATCAACCACCATCTGCGTCTATCTTGCCTTCTCGCTCGTCTTCGATGCCGTGCAATGCCGCATATTATGGCTGCTCCCTGGCTTGCGCAACTTAGCTAGTGTCTTCAGTGCAGCGCTGGCAGTGAAGTTGACAATGTTTCTTCTAGAAGTACAAGGCAAACGCCGATTCCTCCTTGCTGCTCTGCGCCACTTGAGCCCGGAAGCCACGAGCGGCATCATCGCCCGCGGTTTCTTCTGGTGGCTCAATAGTCTGCTAGTGAAAGGCTTCAAAGCGACCTTATCTCCGTCGACACTTTACGATATTGATGATGATATGCGGTCTGAATACCTGCTGCAGAACCTCGACAATGCATGGAATCAACGAAGAGAACATGGCAAGCGGGCAATGTTACGCTCGATTTTCAGCACGACAAAGATGGCTTTGTTGGCCACGACGGTAAACAGACTCGTCCTGATTGGATTCAAATTTTCACAACCGTTTCTCATCAACCGAATCATCAAATACGTCGACGGCGACCGAGGACCTGACTCTAAGTCTGTTGGTTACGGGTTGATTGCTGCAACAAGTTTGGTCTACCTGGGCAACGCGGGGAGTTGCAATAATGGTGCTTGGTTGTGGTTCTCTCCACTAACAGACCTTGTGTTAGTTGTCGACGGGTTTCTACCAACATAAGCTCTTCCGTTACATCGCGATGATCCGTGGGTCTCTGGTTTCTCTCATCATGTCCAATAACCTCGAGCTAGACATGACAAAGGCCAGCGATCCGTCTGCCCCCTTAACCTTGGTCAGCACCGACGTGAGAACCATCTGCAAGTCATTTGAAATGATCCATAAGGTATGGGCAAACCCCATCGAAATCGGCCTTGCCATCTGGCTACTTCAGCAACAACTTGGCCTTGGAAGTGTGGGACCAGGTGTAACCATCATTGGTAAGCCAATGCTGTCGAGATTGAACCAAAACACAATGCACTATTGATCTAACTGGGACTTTACCAGCTTGCACCATTGGTATGGCGAGGCTATCGAAACTGATGCCTCGAGCTTCGAAGATTTGGAACGAAGAGGTCCAAAAGCGTATCACTGTCACTTCGGAGGTGCTTGGTGAGATCAAAGAAACAAAGATGTTGGAAATGGTGGACTTCCTTCAGCATGCAATCCAAGATCTCAGAATTGCAGAGCTGCGCAGAGCGAAACAGTATCGCCGGCTCATCACTTATATGAATATGTTAGGTGGGATTAAGCCCCCGTTCAGTGGCTGTACACCATAAGCTGATATTCAATATCCAGGCAATGCGCCGCCAATGGTTGGTCCTGTTATTACTTTTGGCCTTGCCATACTTGCGCAAAAGATCAATGCCGGGCTATCGCTCTCTATCGCCACGGTATTCACATCGCTTTCCATTATCGACCTGATTGCTGGGCCTCTTGCGCAACTCATCACCTCGGTACCGAGTTTGGTGGCATCTTTAGGAAGTTTCGAGAGGATCCAAGTCTTCCTCGAACAGGGTAGGCCATCAACGGTCACGAGTCCTGATTACCTTGAAGCTGCAAACCACTCTGACCGTGGCTATGTCGAAACTGATAATGGCATAGAGATGCAGAAAGTGCCGCCGAAAACCTCGTCCGAGCAGAGAGAAATCGCGATAGTTCAGGACGGCTCGTTTAGCCTCAAGATTGACAAGGAGCCCACTCTACGCGACATCAACCTTCGAATCGCCCCCTCATCTATGACCATCGTGATTGGTAGGATCGGCTCGGGAAAGACCACCCTCCTTCGAGGTTTACTAGGCGAACTACCAACCACTGGTTCGGTCAAGGCTCTTGAAAGCCCTGTAGCGTATTGTGCCCAAACAACCTGGCTTACGACTGCAACTGTGAAGAAAAACATTCTGGGCGAAACACCTCCCGACGAGGATTGGTACGAAAGAGTTATAAATGCTTGCGCTCTTGTGCCCGACTTCTCCCAGCTAGCAAACGGAGATCACACAGTAGTAGGAAGCAAAGGCCAGTCACTGAGCGGGGGTCAAAAGCAACGTGTTGTAAGTTGTTTTCCTTGACTTTACTAACAGTCGTTCAAAATCGCTCACTAACTTTACCAGGCTCTAGCACGAGCAGTATTCTCTAGGAAGCATGTTCTTGTTGTTGATGACGCGTTGAGCGGGCTTGATAACTCCACCCAGACTCACATCTGGGACTGTCTTTTCAGCCCACGAGGCCTTGTTCGCCAATATGGAGCAACCGTAATCCTGACCACACACTCACGTAAGTAGAAATACAGACGCACACGGCAAAGTTCCATATGCCAGGCTGTTGGCTCATACCAACCACAGTGAAGTACCTCAAATTTGCGGACAAGATCGTCATCTTGGGCGATAACGGGCAGATTGCTAGCCAAGGCAATTTTGACACTATTCGGGAAAGCGCTTACCTTCAAAGTCTTTCTTTCGAGTATACGCAGCCCAAAGATAAGAAGGACTTTCATACTATCCCAGTCGCAAAATCTCGGCAACAAAGTCAGCCACAGAGCAAAGGGGTCGTGTCTGAATCCGAGCAGGACCTCTTGAGAAAGGCGGGTGACACAACGCTCTACTGGTACTACCTGAAGTCCATCGGTTGGCTGTATGGCTCTGCTGGTGCAATAACCTTGATTTTCGACTGCTTTTTCAGAGTCTTCCCTCGTAAGTTTCTCTTCAAATACTTCTACTGACCATGGTCGCTGATCTACCTTATGCCAGAAATCTGGCTCAAGTCCTGGACGGAAAAAGACGCAAGAACCGGCTCATCAGACGCAGGCTTCTACTTCGGAGCCTACTCTGCGATTTCCGTTGTGGGGTTGTTCGTCGTTGCAGTCAATATCTGGTTCGTATCCGAATGATGCTTCTGCAAACTTTTTACTCAGAGTCTGCATGTGCTAACGGAAGCTTGCAGGATCATGTTTGTTTTGAACGTACCCAAGTCTTCTCAAAGCCTGCACTGGACACTTCTGCAGTCTGTCATGAGGTGGGTTGCACTTCGCTGGCCTGCGATATATATCATTACATGTACTTACCAAGTTACAGAGCACCATTGTCATTCTTTGGATCAACAGACACTGGAGACTTGATCAACAGGTAGTTATATCAGAGTCAGAGGTCTTAAGGCGTAGATGCCTAACATTTTACAGATTCAGTCAAGACCTAACGCATATTGACCGAGATCTTCCTTCAGCGTTGTTCATGACTTCAATAGGTGTGTGATTCGTCTTACGTACTAGACAAAACACCAAGCTAATCCATCTCAGCCGTTCTTGATTGCTTGGCAGGAGCCGTTCTGATTGTTATCGGTGCCAAATATCTAGCAGCTGCCATCCCGTTCGCTTTGATCGCCCTCTACTGCCTGCAGGCTTTCTATCTGAGAACGTCTCGTCAGATGCGATTCCTCGATCTCCAAGCACAAGCTCCTCTTCTGACAAAGTTGATCGAGACCATCGATGGCATGTCAACTATTCCTGCCTTCCGAGACACTTCGCTTGATCTCTTAGATCAGTCCCAACGGCCGTACTATCTGATGTTCTGCATCCAACGATGGCTCACTTCGGTTCTCGACATTCTTGTCGGTGCCATTGCAGTTTTGCTGGTTTCAATGGCCATGATGATACCGGATGCGACTAGCACTGGAGCAATTGCCATTGCGCTCTACAACGTGCTCAACTTCAATCAATCTCTAGCTACTCTGATTACCTCCTGGACAGAGCTCGAAACATCGTTGGGTGCCATATCTCGCTTGAGAACCTTCGTATCTCGAACACCAATCGAACCGACGCCTGTCGCTGGAGAGCATGATAATATTCCGCGTCAATGGCCCTCCCAGGGTCAGGTCGAGATACAGAACGTCACAGTATCTTACTCCGAGGAGACGAGGCCAGTACTCAAGGGCGTCTCGCTTTCGATCGAGCCGGGAGAGAAAGTTGCGATATGTGGTCGCACAGGCAGTGGCAAATCGACTCTCACTCTCGCTATTTTCAAACTTCTTGGCCTTGATGCAGGCAGGATCTTAATCGACGGCGTTGACATATGCAGTGTCCCTAAAGACGTGCTCCGTCGATCTCTTATCGCCATCCCACAGGAGCCACTTCTCTTCCCCGGAAGCCTGCGCACAAATCTCTTTCCCTTCAGTGACGTCTTGAGCGCGGATGAGGTGCCGTCCGACGCTGACCTCATAGATGCTCTGACCAGGTTTCACTGTGGTCAGCCATCTTCTTGAGTGGGGGGCTCAACACGGATGTCTCCAACTTACCACTATCCAAGGGCCAAAAGCAGCTGCTTTGTCTGGCCCGGGCCATAGTCAGGAAGAATTCTAGCAGGGTCCTGGTCCTCGACGAGGCTACTAGTGCCGTCGACCAAGAGACCGAAGACAAGATGGCTAGGATCATCGAGAGCGAGTTCGCTGATCACACTATCATATCTGTGATCCATCGTCCTCAGGCCCTTCGTGGCATTGACAAGATTGTTACCTTGCAAGATGGCAGAGTCGCCAGCATCGGGACTGCAGAGCACTAGTGAAGATGTACGCTTTGGCATGCGGGAAATCTGATTTTCTTTACACAACAGTCATTTGAAGGCTCCATTGATGTGGAAGATGTACGTAGACAATTTAATTTGTAAACGTATCAAGTCTGGTTCAACTACACGGCTCCCCACCTTTGTCCTGGCTGACAACCACCCCGGACGATCAGCTTGCGTCTTTCACCCAGTGGGCTTCTGACTTTGATAACCCTGTAATTGCTGTTATTCCCACAGCGGAACGCCTTGACATTGCATGCTCGGCAAGCTCCGCCAGATGTCCACCGGCCCTGTGATGCCCTGAAGGCTTTCGCATTGACCTTTTTGATGATGAACCAGGGTATGTACATGAAAAAAGATCTTCAACGGCAATAGCTGGTCCATGGGTACGGGTCTGCCGATTCCGCCAAACTTCCCCGATAATTATAACCTGATGAAAATGAGTCGAATAGCTTCTTCACATATTCATAAAAAGCACCTTCCATGTTTCTCCCTTTCAGTCCATGTGCCTTGCCAAAAATTCAATTCCCACGTCCCGGCATGTCTACACCCATTGTCGATACCGTGCTCTGTGATTTCCTGAGCCTCACTGCTTCGGGCTGTATTCCACAGTGATTGTCTTTGTTTGGACAATGTTGTTTCCTCGCATGATAGCCTTTTCTGATGAATCATCCTCTGTTGGATCATTCTCGCTATTGCCAGTGGCGATAGTCACTGGCTTGTTAGGTCCCATGCTAGCCATCACAAATGCTTCGCCGTTGTTATCTCGATCAAACTGCGAGTATTCGGCTCGATTTCGCGTTCCATTTGTTCCACCAATAGTCATTCGCGACATGGGTTTGCTCCCAGTACCACCGACAGTCTTTCCCTTGCCATATGTGCTTTCGCCGATAATCTTAGGTGCGACATGTCGGAAGAATTTGCGTAGGGTCGGGAGAGAGGCGCAAATAACGACCAGATTGGCTTCAACGATACTGAGGAACGAATTTGTTAGGAAACCTACATACAAATAACAACGACAGGATCGAAGCAGACCGGTGTTTACTTACATCCACAAGCTAGCCCATGAGATGACCCAGCTTTGGTCCATGCTCGTAAGCATGGCTGGGAGAAGAGAAACGCGAACAATCGATGTGACAACTGTACTACAGGCTTTGTTAGCTTCACCGGGATCTTTCTACGTATACCATGTATCTTGTTTGAGGATATCGGCAGCGTCGACTTACAGTGACCCGACTGCGAAAATGAAGAATAAGCCAATCTTTTGTCGACGTGGAATCTGTAGCTTCACAACGATTGGTAGCGGGAGGGCGAAGAGTATCAAGTCCGAGATGATGTTTGCCGCAGCGGTCGCAATGTATAACGATGGTCGGTTGATGCATGTGCCTTCCGTGATGGTCACATCCCAGCTCATCGCGATTGGGTCACAGGCAAAGACGAGGGCAATGAAGATACCGATGCTGTAACCGGCAATGATTGCAAGAGAAATCCACACGGCTCTTTTGAACCATCTTTGGGGGGATAGTCGGAAGTAGAAGATCAGGAGAGAGACTTTGGCAAAACTTCCGCAGAGGGTGTAGATGGCGGCCGCGAGAAAGACATCCTGTGTTGACAAATGCGTTAGTAAGTCGGGCTCTCGGAACAACATGCCAGCCCTCAAGGATGAAATAGACAAATAGAATAGTTTTTTTCCACTTACTATCATGTAGATGTTATACTTTTCGATGGATATTTCCCATCCGTGGACACCTCCCGACCCATATGCGAACATATCTACCAAGGGCTTGTTAGCAACAGATTGGCCGACCATATAAGCTTGACAGATTTACTCACGAACGCACAATCCAATCGTTGCGATGGAGGTGAACTATGTTGCAGTCAGTAAGGCTGGTTCCCACAAGTTGATCAAGCTTGTTGGCGTTGGGTGGATAAGCTTGAGGCTGCATGTTGCCGCAAGTCACGACCCGGTGTCCGAGGCATTCATGTTGTAGGTATTCGTGTTGGGGGTATTCATATTGGAACTAACCCAAGCCAAAAGAAGAAAGACTGCCAAGACTAAATGTTAGTTCACTCAGCTTTTCAAGTTGACGTCGAAGAAAAAGTCAAGGGCAGGTTGTGATGGAGGATAATGGGGTAAAAGACACTTGACATGCTGTCTGATGGGCGTTCTTACCATCGTCCCACTGCAGCCGACCGATCAAGAAGGCTTTCGTGTACAGCCTTTGCGCCATGAGCAAGACACTGAGAAGGGTGCCGAATCCAGCTACATAGTAAGCTTCGGGTACAGCCTGTCGCTGGGGATCATCGAAGTTGACCACATAGCCTTCAGGAGCCGAAAGAACAGTGATCACGCCGTTCACCACTGGCATGGCTGGGATGCTAGGAGTCGGATGGTCAAACTGCTGATTTCGTGCTGATGTTTGCGGTAAAATGGGTCACAGGATAAACTCGATCAAATGACAAGAACACAATACCAAAGGTATGTGGGTGGCCAGTGGCTTAAAGCAGATTACATCCTTGGGGCGGATGGTATTTTCGGACACCATGGTCGCTATGTACCAAGCGATATGAGAGTGACTATGGAAGCGTCAGTCTTAGCATGTATCACTCTCGACTACTTGACACCGGCTCTCTTTCATATTATATTCAGAGTGTGATTCGCAAGCATATACAAGTTTATGTTAGAACTGCGAGCTTTGAAGGGTAGAGGAAGCGAGCCCACATATCCGCCCCCCATGCAGCTTGATGCAGAAGGCCCTGCTCCAGTTCCACCGTCCTGCAGTCACAAAATTTCTCTTAAAACCAACGCCGCAAAACCCTGGGCTAGCGGTCGGCCAAGATATTTCTGCGCGATATCACTTCATCTGGCATTCTAGCCCGAAGAACGGCACGTAATCGTCGATATAACAACTTCTTGTCTGTCGCTCCACAAGCTCGGTCACAGGGATGAGCTGTGTTGGAACTAGGATGTCGTGAAGTTGAGACAAATCCTCCATCGTCTCTCTTAGCGAAATGCATGAGAAATTTCCAGTAGCCGCGTGGCGGCATCGACGGCTAGGTCGTTCGATGGTCCCAATCCACGCATGAAATGCGCCTCACACCTGCAGTCGTCGGCTCCGAGAGGCTGCATATCAATCTAAAAAGTGTTGGGGTCCGTTGCAGAAGTTCCGCAAACATAAATTTCTCAGGGATTGGGGCTCCAATCGAACCGCTTTCCGTATCACGATGAAGAAGAAAGATGTGGCAAAGCCAAGTTCGATCATTACTTCCTTCGTAAGGTCGCTGTGTATGAGGTGATGTAAGCCGTTGGAAACTCCGTAATACAAGGTTGCTTTAGTCGTACGAATGGAGAACACCGATCGTACTCTATTCTAGCGTACCTTCCGTGGGTACCTTACACTGTATCTCAAAGCATCCGTACCGTCGATGAACTACCTCGGATGATGGCGCCGGGCGGGGGCTAAATCGTTCGATGAGGCCTGATCCCCGAGATCGTCCCAATCCGTTGACGCGTGGGGCAGTAAGCTTTTTCATCTGGTCCTGACTGAGGCGATGTTGGTTGACCGTTGTCGTCGGCGCGATGCTTGTAAGTTGCCAGGGTTTTCAGAAGGATGAGCTTACGCGGAGTGCGCGGAATCGTAACCCCAGTGCCCGGTAACAAGTCAATCTCTTCCCCGATGGCAACGTCCAGGATCTTGGGTGGGACGACGGAGCTTCGGTGACTAGGATAATATTCGGTTACTTCCAACGACATCGACTGGAGTAACGTTGTGAAAAGACACCAGATGAAAAAAAGAGCAGCAGGGGTTAAAATCGCACCACGATCTTCGGTGCTGCTAGACAGGGGAAAGAAGCATGTCTGCCAAGTCTCCAACGCAAGAATTGAAGGAAACTTTACCGATACTACCCACCCATGCCAGGAAAGAAGACTGGACCGATAAACAACAAATCGATGACAACTGGACGGTGCCAGCCGTTATGAGGGGGCATTTTGGTCTAATGCATCACAAAAGTAATGTCCCACCTTCAACCCAATTCTGAGTTCGTCCAGGCCCTCCCAAGGATCAATATTCCTTTTCGGGTTCCTGATCCACCGTGCTGGATTGCAGCTCTGAAGCCGCTTCAGAACAGGGTAATATAAGGACAAGCTGAGGGCTCGTCGTAGAAAGTCTGCCTCCATGTTCACACCTATCAGTGCAATCTACTCCCATCGGTCTTTTCCCTAAGTCAAGCCTTGGCTTCGGTGTTCGGTCTTGCCACCTCCAGTCTCTCCGTGTCCGCCCTAACCGACCTTGCCAACCTTGCTTTTTGCTCAGTTGACATGATGAAGCCAACTGTAATGGCGTTGAGTACTGCGGCGTTCTTTGACATTGCCTCGGCTGCGACTTGCTACTCGCAGTCAACAGCATGCGTGAGTTTACCTACACGTTTCTAATGCAAATTGTTGGTGCATGTAACTGACTTCGATAACAGTGTTCGAAGCTGAACAAGGCCCCGGGGCTGGCAGGCAAGATCTACTTCCCTAACTCAACGGAGTATGTAGAACGTATGGACTCGTACTGGTCCATCACAGCCGCCCTGGACCCTTGGTGCGTCGCACAACCCTCAACAGCCGAGGATGTGTCGACCATCATCACCACCCTTGCTGCCTCTAACTGCACATTCGGCGTTCGCGGTGGTGGCCACGGCTCCTTTGCTGGATCCAACAGTGTCAACGACGGTGTCACCATCGACTTTGGCAACTTCAACAGCACTACCTACAACCCCGATACCAAGATCGCCTCCATTGGACCCGGCGGTCACTGGCAAACTGTCTACGACACTCTTGCCCCTTATGGCGTCGTCGTCACTGGCGGTCGCGCTGGTACTGTCGGAACTGGTGGCTTCATCCTCGGCGGCGGTAACTCCTTCCACTCGGCGTCTCACGGTTTTGCCTGCGACCAAGTTGCCAACTTTGAGGTGGTCCTTGCTGACGGATCCATCGTTAATGCCAATGCCACTTCCAACCCCGATCTGTGGCAAGGTCTGAAGGGAACTGGCGCCAACATCGGTCTCGTCACTCGATTCGATATGTACGCCATTGACTTCCCCGACCCAACAAAGCCAGTAGTCTGGGGAGGCAACCTCATCTACGACCTGGAGTCTGGTCCCAAAGTCATTGACGCTCTCGTTGAATTCACGGAGAACGTCCACAAGGACGAGAACAGCTCTTCCATCGTCTACTGGGCGTACCTCCCCCAACTCGGCGGTATGATCCTCAACGCCGCCATCGAGAACACCTTGGCTGAGGTTGCGCCTCCTGCTTTTGATGCCTACTACGCAGCCGGCAACATCACCCAGGACACCACTAAGGTCGACTTGATCTCCATCGTCGCGAACGAACTCGGATCCGGCCAACCCGCCGGCTTCCGCAACGCCTGGTTCACGCTTGCCTTCGACAACGACGCCCGAGTCATGAACTACGCCGTCGAGAAGTTCTACACTCTGAACGCGGATCTCGAGAAGGCCGTCGGTGCCGACTCTGGCTTCAACACCCTTTGCATGTTCCAGCCCATCACCAAGTCCATCGTCGACAAGGGCATCGCCATGGGTGGTAACAGCATGGGTCTGGACCACTACATCACCCGTGGCAACGGCATCATGTTCCTCATTACTTTTGCCGTCAACGGCGCTGAGAATGAGACCATTTCTTTCCCGTATATCCAAGCTTACACGGAGGACGTCGAGGCCTATGCCGCGTCTCTAGACTTGAACTGGGGCTGGATCTTCCTCAACTATGCTCACAAGGTGCAGGATGTCATCTCGTCGTATGGCGAAGCTTCCATTGAGAGGTTGAGGGCCGCTTCTGCCAAGTACGATCCCACTGGCGTTTTCCAAAACCTGCGTCACTCAGGCTTCAAGATTCCCTTCTAGACATCAAGTGTGACAGTTGGCAGTTGGCGAGAGGCGACATTAGATATCATCAATCTACCCTAATGAACGATATTATCATCAAATAGAAGTGTAATGCTAAACAACACAAGTTCATTCCTTTTTGACCGCTTGTGTTTTGTGTTCAATCTGAATGATCAGATCACTAATTATCACATGGTGTTAATGGCGATTCTGAAGAGGCTGGGTATCGAAGGAAATCGAATAAAGCGCTGGGAAGTAAATATAACTTGAGAACCGCGAGAAGGAACGCTACGTTCGCTATGTACTCTATGCAGAAAGCAACCTCTATCAAGCAAAATCCACGCTGTAATAGGACTCAACCATCAACATGAGCAGCCACCGCTCAAGGCCATACACGGCAGCCAAGCGCAAAACTCCCAACAAGGTCCTCCATCACCAGCCATACCAGTACAACACCAGCAAGTAGCGCAACAGCAATCTGGGCCTAGACTGCCACCCGCATTGGCACCGCTCCTCATGGGATCCATCGCTTTCCCCGCCTCATACGCGCCGTACACGATTCCAGCTCCGGCTCCCGCGGCAGCAACACCCCATAGTCCGTTCTGCATCGAGTTCTGGAACCCCTTGACGGCCTTGTCCGGTGTGATTTCGCTGAGTCTGTGAGTCGGTGTCTCGAGACTTTCTGCGAAGCAGTCGTAGTCAAGCGCACATCCCTCGGGCTTCTTGATGATGCTGCCGAACTTCTTGAGTAGTTCCCGGCAGTCATCGTATCCGAGATCCTCGGCTGCGATGGATGAGCGCGCGGCAGCCCACTCGGTGTTTACTTCGTCTTTCGTCAAGGTCGTCCAGCCGATCTGACAAACGGTGTAGTCGCGAGTGTGATAGCCCTTAGCCGGTGTTGAAAGCTTCAGTGCCCTGGGCTTGTTCATCTCCTCCTTCAGAGACCATGAGACCACTCGTGCCTCATACACTCTTGGAGGCCCAAACGAACTAGTCTTTTCGCTCTCCGGCAACTTGTCCTTTGGTACATTGCCATTTGATAGGCGGAGCTCGTACTTCAGGCCGTGCGTGATGATGGCCCAGTGTAGAAGACACCCGTCGTCAACACGGCGAGAGTACCATACTTGTTCGCCCTTGGATGTGTCCTGCCCCTGCTTGCCACGCAGGTTCACTTCCTCTTGTAACCTTTTCTTCTCTATCCTTGTTGCTCTTTTGACAGCGTCTATTCAAGGGATATCTTCATGTTATACTCCATAAAATAAGCATGGGATCCTGGTTATCAATGCTTCAATGAAGCCGCTGACGGCATGAGCTGCAGCGTTGCGGCGCTGCGGCGCATGCCCTACCATCGCTGCACGGCCTTGCGCGGACTGCGCCGCAGATAGCTGCCAAGTTTTCCCCATCTCATAGGGCAGATCGCACTCACGCATTCTCGGATTGACCAATGTCAACTAGCCATCATTAGATCTCTTGCAAAAGATCTTTTGTGTCTTTCGTTACTACTAATAGGGAGGCGCAACCGCCTGGATGAACGACGAAAATGACATCACCCACCAGTTGCGGGAAGATCTTCCCTGCATCGCCTCTCCTAAGCTTTCGGGCGGTAAATGTAGGGCTGTCTAATACCGGTGCCTACCTTATTACATCAGACGGCCAATCACCAAGATCTACACAAAGCTAATCGATGGGTGTCTGATATGCGCACCTTGGGAGACGTCAAAGTGAGCTTCGCGTGGCATTCGGCGGAGGGTATGAGCCATGTTCAGTGCGCGTTCATTCCGCCTTCTTCGTGGAAAACTTGTTCCGTCCAGCCCTCATGATATCGATGCTCGCTGCGCGTAGTCACTTCGCTGTAGAAGGTGCCGAGTAGCCATGCAAGGGACGCGAAGTTGACGCGAGAAATATGGCTCACTTAAGGTAAGGGATGCAAGTTACCCAGCACCCCCAGGTACATAAGCAGCTAAGCTCGACAAGTGCTATCGAAATAGCTTCCTGTTGCCCTCTGATACGTGGGATGCCTCGCGTCCCGCCTCTCGATTCGCCACTTATAAACACTCAGCAAAGGTGCTTCCGAGAGCCCCCATGCAACCTTGGATCACTTAGATCTTTGGGCGTCCCTATGATTCAATAATCCGACCCTACTTCCATTGTATCCGCCTATAAACAATCTCGAAATAGAGTTGGAGAAAGATTGGAGACGGATGCCGTGACGCCATCTAGCAGTTGATGAGATACTCAGTCTCCCACGAAATCTCCGAGCAAAGCCACAAGTGTCGCAATCAACACACCGAGCTCAGCTTCCAACGCTCCGACTCACCATTCCTCGAAGTCATTTTGGTTTCTTCCTATATTAAAACGAGCGTTGGGAACGGTGTCATATCTGGGGCTGCAGCCTCATGCAGCTCTTGCCGAAAATCGTGGCATGCAGCTGTGACCTGCAGGTAAGATCGTCATTATCCGACCGAGTCTCCACATTCAAACAATGGCAACATGGCCGAGTGGTCCAAGGCGATAGACTTGAATTGTTCATGATTCAGACATCTATTATCTTCGGATGCGCAGGTTCGAACCCTGCTGTTGTCGCAAATGTTTTTGAAATCGAGCGGGATTTCATGAACTTTTTTGCGTTGATTTGCCACAAATGCTGATGCGCGGTAAAGTTTGACTGCCTACCGTCGTGGCCATGGCTTGGCATATCTAGCTACCTTGAGCAACTTCGCGGGTAGGAAGTGTGGATACAAGGTACATGCGGCACGTCAATGGAGCACGAAAGGAGCAATCTTCATCGACTAAACTTTTTAACTTGCGCTATTATTCTAGAACCTTAAGCCATTGATGAAATGTTGACAGGGCCGAATACTATGACTTCGACAAATATGTACGAAGCAATTGACAAGACGTGATAGTACTAGGTAGATGCGTATAGAGTAGCAAGCGTGAATGAAACCTGACCTGACCTGGCCCTCTTCCCAAAGCAGGAGTGCCCATAGCATTAAACATTAGAACCATGATCCAGAAAACCCCGCGCTCCCAAATTCGAGACCTTGACGGACGGAAATTTTGAGTTAGACCACAAAGTGTTCATGTGGCAAGTAGTCAGGAAAAGTCAGAAAACATACCACGATCAGCAGCCATCCGGCCGTTCAGAAAGGCACTGGTCCATGCAGTATGTGCCCACAATAACACCATACACCTTGCCAGAGACGTAGCTGCGAAAGTTGTCACGGCAGTTATCATAGACCATCTCCGCGGCAGGCAAAAGTTCCGCAACGGGCGTCGGCTTATCAATGAACGCAGTCCAGCTGACGCAGCACCGCGCTGTCTCGATCTCGAGACAGTAGTCCTGCGGGGTGCCGCGGACCATGTCGGTGGCCTTGTCCTTCTTGAGGACGTTGATGAGGTGCGAGCAGACGCCGGCCATGGCCTGGTGGCCCTTGTCGCAGACGAGCTCGTTCTCGCCGCACATGGCGGACGAGGGCTGCTCGACAACGGTGCCGTCCGGACCGGTTGGGGTGACGGTGATGTCGGTGTAGTTCTTTCGGCCCCAGGTGGAGAAGGTGCCGATTTCGTTGGTGTAGAGGTCGAGGACGATGCGTGTGGGGAACTCTTTCTCCATGGCGAAGATGGCGTCCGCGTTGGGGAGCAGGTGAGCTGGGAGAGCTCTCGCGACTTGCATATTGGCACTTAGCGCCGTGACCTCGGGGATAATCATCTTCACGTCGGTGTTCTATCGATGATCAGTTGTCTGTGTGTTGTGTAGGTTATACTTCATAGACTTGATATGCACCTACCTTGGAAAGCGAGGCTACCTGAACTTGCTTATGCGAAAAGGAATGTTGTGGAAGAGGGAAAGAAGAGGTGTGAGGGGCAGTCCATCTGTCGTGGCATTTATACAAGCAGTGGAAGAGAGAGGTTGTAACCTTTGTGAGTGCTGACTGGAAGACCCTCAGAAGCGAGAAAAGCAGTAGCGGAATGAGAGGCCGTGGGGTTTTAGCCCTCAAACTAAAAGAGTGCCAGAGATCAGTATCGCGAGTGTAGGAAAGACAGGACGCCGTCAAGGTCGCGGTTCTCGTTGAAGCATATCGACGAACAACCACCCTGCTAGAAAGAAAATGGACTCTCCGCGGACCGGGGAATTGAGTTCTTTTCTAGACAGGCTGCGATGTCCCTCATGGTCTCTGGGGCCTAATTATCAAGGCAACGAAGTAGCTGTCATGAAGTGTTATGCCGCAGTTGAGCATCCGTAAAGGTAATACTGGGGCAGGAAACTAATATTGCTAGTGGCTGCATTTTCTGCATCGTACACGAAACTTAAGGGGCACTCACCGTAAAGGTATCCGTCTTCGTACGTCTCTCTCCTCAGAAGACAATGCTACGTGTAGTTTTCCACAACCTGCCGGTGTATTACTCACAATGTGTTGCTTCGTCCTGGCAGGTCACCTGCAGGCTCTTCACGCCCCTCTGGGAGATGTAAGGTTACGCTGTCAAGGTCCAGACTAATAAGTCGGCCGAGAGACTAGAAACTTAAAAGAGAGTAGAGGTGAGGAAGCACACCATAGAGGTTGATCGACAACGAGAAGGTAGGCCAGCACACACAAGCACTAATGATCAAAAGGTCACCGAGATATCGGGGCAAAGGAACAAGCTTCGAAGTCTTGACAAACTTGATTTCACCCGTGGGCCCTTCTGTGCCCAGAGTGGGATTCTCCCTATTCATCCACCAACGCCGTTCGCCCAACGTGGGAAGCCACGGATAAACCACATCAATCAATCTACTTTTTGCCCACCGTCCAAGGCGCACTTCCAAGTCCCAGACCGAATGATGATCAAGATTCTACGCCAACCACCCTCGAATAGCGCCAACATGACCCTCCTATCCAGGGAGACAGACAACAGTTTAAAAGGACCATGATACAAGGCGAGGACACATGGCCCCTTTAGTACTACAAGCCGCAGCAAATTCGTGAATGACAGAGGGGTATCGCAACTGCAGACCAATGACCGACCAACTAGCAAAGCAAACAACAGGATTGGTTCACACGCAGAACGGTCACGAACAAGTCAACAACGTGGCGAAAAAGCAAACTAAAAGCTAGGAAATCTCTGTTGGGGGAGTCCCGTGTGGAAGTAAGACGAATAGAAGGGGCAATCAAGTCGCAGAACCATCCGAACCCGACGCCCAAGACAAGCCCAGATGTCCAGAGAGATAACTAAGGCCGCAAAGCATGCAATCGTCGTTCTCGTGATGTCTCACAATCGTATCCGCTATCCGTATGCCTAACATCAAACAAGTCCAAAGAAATGTGTCATTCGCCCAGGTATCCATCGTGCAGCGTTAAGAGTCCAAGGCGGCGGCAGCGAACGAAGAACGATGAGACAAGCTCGAGAAAGGGTGAAGCAATAAGACAGTTGAGAGCGCAACTATCGATTTTCCTCAGGTGCTCAACTTGAGCCCAAGGGCAAGGGGGCCGTCCAGGAGGCCCTTAAGACCTTCGATCTACTACAAAGGATGTTAGCCCAGGTGTGTTCTGACACATGACCCATGGATGCTTACCTGAGGAGGGGCACCAGGAGGGCCCTGAGGTCCCGGAGGGCCATGAGGACCCGGAGCACCGAAGTGAGCGGGTCCGTAGGCGCCAGGGCCGGGAGCCGGAGCGAAGTAATGAGGTGGGGGAGGGGCAGGACGGTAGGGGGTACCAACACCAGAGTTGTTTTGGCTGCGGCCCCAGCTCAGACGGACACGGGAGTTTCCAATAGGGTATCCCTGCATCTGGTTGATGGCCATTTCGGCAGCGTGGCGGTGGACGAACTGGACAAAGCCGCAGCCCTTTCCAGGAGGGATCTTGACGTAGGTAATCTCGCCGAATCCTTGGAAGAAGCTTCGGAGCTCATCCTCGGTAACGTAGCCAGACAGGCCACCAACGAAGACGGTCGTGTTGTTGGGGTCGGTGAACTGGTTCATCTGCTGACCAGGAGGGTTGTAGGGAGCTCCGTAAGCATTGCCGTACTGGGCAGGCGAGGGAACGCCGTAGAATCCCTGCTGGTGAGGAGGCAGGCCGGGGGCCATCATCTGGTTACCAGGGTGCTGTTGGTAAGGGCCACCGTGGTTGCTTCTGCTTTGATTAGTCTCATAGACTCAAACTTGCAAGGTGTGCCGACTCACCTGTTCTTGGGGGTAGCGGTGGAGATACGCATAGGGCGGTTGCCGCAGTAAACTCCCTGCATCTCCACAAGAGCACGCTGCTGGTCCTGCTCGTCGGTGAAGCGGACAAATCCGTAGCCACGCGACTGTCCCGACATGGCATCGGTCATGATCTTAGCAGACTTGCAGGAGGGGAATCGCGCCTGGAAGAGAGACACGAGAACGTATTCGTTGACCTCAGGGCCAAGGTCGCCAACGAAGATCGAGTACTCGGGACCACGATCGTCGCGACGGTCGTTGATGCCGCCACCGGAAGCCCAGTTGAGCTTGAAGGCACGGTTGGAGTTGGGAACGGGGGATCCGTTCAGGGTGAGGGCCTTGCTGGCAGCCTCGGACGAAGTGAACTCGACGAAGCAGTATCCGGCATTGCCCGAAGTCTTGTCACGGATGACCTTAACGTTGACGGGCTCTCCGGTGGCGGTCAAGAAGACACCCTTGATGAAGTTCTCATCCATCCAGGGCTCGAGCTCGCCCATCCTGTGCATGTCAGTCGAAGCCGCACAAGATATCAAGAATGTTCGCTCACCAGAGAGTGTTCTTATTCGCGTCTTGCTGGATAGGGGCTTGGCCGCCCGGGATCTCTCCGGAACCGTTGTTGCCGGGGAAGGGCATACCGCCCGAGACGGGGGTACCGAAGCCGTCACCATTAGCGTTGGGAGGGGGGGCACCGTTGCCCTGAGCGGGGTTGTAGGGGTTGATTCCGTCCATTTTGGTGTTGAGTAGTAGTGAGAAGTTCAGAACTGTAGCTGTCCGCTTTAAAAAAATGGTTGATGGTTTCGAGAATCGAATCAGAACGACCTGTATTCAGACGCAAAACCTGTACTCCGAAAGGAACTTGGTAAAAAGTCGATTCTCTCTGACGCCTGCACGCCCCGTTGTGAAAACGAAAAATCGAGATGTCGCGGGATGTTCGTGCAAAAATGCTGTAGCCGCCGACTCAAAGAACCGAGCAATGCTTCAAATTCGACTTTTAGGTCTGTTTCGCCGTGGCCAACGTGAACTTTGAACGGTTCGAGAAAAGGTCAGAGGAAGAATCCGAAATGATTGGACCTAGCGAGGGTTAGCTTTCAGATACACACAAGGTATCCCGTCAGCACGCCGTGGATAGTCGCAGTTGCAGTCGCAGTCACTCCGAAGTTGTTGATCCGATAGCTGTATCCAGAGGCATTATCATCGTGAGTGCGGGTCGAGATCCTAGCAAAGAGCGGCGTGCGTCCAATGTCGGGTGAATTCGTAGGGCGACAGGGACGTCCCAGACAATCTTTCGTAAACGGGTAGTTGAAGCCAGGTGTTTTGTAGAGAGCCTGCAAGCCCTTCAGTCGCAAACTCCCTTGCGATCGTAGTGTAGCAAGCCTAGGGGTATGTGGCTGTCGAAGAGCTGCAATTCGACGAAGGAAATAATCTGACCGTCTGCCTTTGGCAAGACATGTCATCTCCCCAGCTACCAAAGAAGGCCTTAGGTGACACAAGACTAGATGCTGCCATCTAGCTGGGTGCTATTTCCTGTCCTTGGTATGCAATCCCCTGCGGGTCCGGTCTTTGATCCTCTCCAGTATACTGCAGCATTTCCGCGAGGCATTGGACTTCAGGACGAAATGGCATACCCCATATGTCAAGACGCCATTGCAGAAGCTAGAAAGAAATCCGCTGTTCCTTTGCCAGAGACTGGAAGGAGCTGTGGGACGCGGCGCCGCAGGCAAGGTAAGACGAGACTTGCGGACTTTTCGGGTGCGGGGGTGAGCAAAGGCGTTGCTGTGGTTGCTGATGGTGCATATTTCGCTTCCTCGGGCGTCTGACGGTGACGACTCGTTGCAGGACACGTCGAGGCTGAATGGCTTCGGCATTTGGTTGTCGATCTTCAACCGCGATCCGGGATGATCCACGATGCATGGAGGGGTTCGATGATGCGCCCAGAACTGCAATCCCATTTTTTTCTCCGACCACCATCCTCCAGAGTTGCTCGGGCGGTCAATTCGAGGCGGGCGACGTCGAGGTCCTCAGCAGAGGATTGCCGAGGATGCCGAAGGCCGGATGGTCGGACACGAGTGTACGATTTGCGACAGTGGCTGCGGCTGCGGATGCGACTGCGAGAATGCGACGGAGAGGAGGGGAATATGGGCAGATAGAGAGGAGGACAGTGAGGTAGAGAGAGAGCATTGATTACTTACTTTTGGGCGCCAACAAAAAGACTCTTTTTCCGGATGACCAGGAAGAAACGTCGTGCGACTCGTAAGGAGGGTGAGTGAGGGTGGTGAGGAGGAAGAATTACAGAGTAATTTTCGTGTCGAGGGAGGAATTTGGGAATGGGGGGGTTAAACGACGTGGGAGGAACCGGACAAGGAAGTTGCGCGCAGAGAATTTTTTTTCGCAGCTGGTGAAGGCCGTGGATCTCGCTCTAGTCAGTGGTGACGTGAGGTGGACAAAAAACGCGGCAGCTGGAGCAGCACGGATTTCTTTTGCAACAACCAAGACAATCGCTGAAAAGGATGCTTCGATTTTTGAGCAAAACCTGCAGAGCAACGCAGAGGAGCAGAGCAGATCGCAGAGAGCAGACAGAGATACGACAGAAGAGGCAGAGAGAGGTGCAGCTCTAAAGAAAGAGGAAGAAGGAGAAATGGACGATGATGAGGGTAGAGGGGGGAGTGGGAAGAAGAAGGAACCAAGGGAAGGGAAGGAAAGTGGAAGGAAAAGGAAGAGCGCGAGACTGCGAGACCAGCGGCCAGCCAGAGAGAGACGCCAGACGCCAGACGGGGTAGGTACCTTCCTCACGCACTGGCGATGGAGGACGCAGGCGCAGGCGCAGGCTCAGGAGGTACCTAGAATGTGGATTTTGGGCGAGGAGGAAAGGGAAGGCGCGACCTGAACTCTAGGGATGAGGGGGTGTGCGAGGTGGAAGGAAAGCAGGCAGGTACCTTCCTGGTTATTGACTGAGGTGGTGTGTGCGTGTGTGCGCAAGAACCTAAGGTTGTGTGTGCGTGTGTGTGTGGGTGTGGAAGGAACCTTGGGCCCTTAGGGTGAGGGAAGGCAAGGTACCTTGAGGTAAGGTATTTAGGAGAGGGTGAGGGCAGGCACGGAACCTAGACGGTGTTTGGAGGTGTCTGCAGGTAGGTACCTTCCTTTTAACGTACTTGTCTACTTATTTTCTCAGTGACTGTTTCTTCCGTCTCTTTTTTACGTGTCTATGGCGCTGTTGCTGAGGACGGCAAGTGCTGTGCCCGATACCAAGGTAAGGTCAGGCAGCTAAGGTAGATAGAGGTATCGGTATGGATGTCTGTGTGCGAGTGCGTGCCTCCCCAGCTCTTCGGCGCAAGCAGAGCAAGGTACCTCTTAGCTTAGACTCTACTTTTCACAAGGTACCGGTGGGAGCAAGTACCTTTCCCAAAGGTAAGGGTGGAAGGTATGGAGTCGAGGTTGAGGTGCCTTGAAAGTTGAGGGCAGGCAGGTGGAGCAGCCGCAGGCGAGCCTGTTTCCTTACGTACCTGCCTCACCTTAAGCCGCACTTTACTACGTGTGTACTAGCCGGGTGCATCTCAGCAAGCAAGCGCACCGGGTCAATCCAAGTCAGCCGCAGCAAAGTCTCCAAATCGACGAAGCAGCAAAGGTGGACAAGGTCTCCATGGATGGAAGGGTTGGAGTGGGTCCGGTGTCGGTGCTGATGCCGTGCGTTGGAGCTGGGAGAGCCGTGGCTGCCACCAACAAGCTCTAATAGAACGCCGGCAACAGGCGGACTGGCATCGCGTTTCTCAGGTCAGGTACGTGCTTCAACGGAAACAGCACGAGGCGCCCTAACGTACTCTTTTTGTCTATTTGCCCAGATTTCCTTAGGTACCTTAGTTGGCTCCAGAACATTGGATATAAAGTACCTATCGATGACAATTCATGGTAAGTTCTCTCAGGGCCAGGTTGGCCTGGGGCACCCACCCCGTGACTCCGAGGCCAGATTAACGAATGAGAAATGGCGTCACGAAAAAGTGAGGAGCAGGGGGGGGGGGGGGGGGGGGGGCCGCCGGATTGGGGAGGGGGCTCTTTCCTTGACCCTGCAGCCAGGTGTCGCCTTATCCCCGATGCCTCACCTTACGTCCTAGGAGGAAGGAACCAACCTCAATATCACACTTTTACACGGCAGTCAATTATTCGATCCACCATCTGCGCAACATGCAATAATCTGCACGAAATGATCCATTTCCAGCAGATAGAGACACATCGATCAACCTCCTCAAATGCAGCCACTTTGGTGCATTCACCTCATCAGCCACAATCCCCTCTCCACCTTCACGATTGTCGGAAGCCCCAACCACGCCAGCCTCAGCAACGAGAATGCGAGCTGTACTTCTCTCACGGCTAGGACGATCATCTCAGCAAACGCTGCTTGCTTTTCTGGTCTCCGCCATGCGAATACCCTCGCGATTCGCACCGCATCCAGCCGGACCTAAGTAATATCGGCCCGGCAATGGTTCGCTTGGAATGCGCCGGCTCAGTCCCTCATTCCAGATGCTGCTCGTCGATCGGGCCCTTCCCGCTCGCATGTCTCTCCCTAATCAGCCGCTGGCCGCTGGACGAGCACGAACGACGAGATGGCGGATGCGACAAACACCATAGAGCGAGCCGCATTCGAGACATTGGTCTCCTTTCATTTCTTTTTTCCCGTCGCTTGCTTCCTCCACGCGAACCTCCTCGACGACTTCTCCATAGCCGGCCGATGTTAGCCTTCAAGGACCACTGTCGACTTGCCCCCGACTTGTGCTAGAGCCAGCCACGCCAACGTGACATGTCGTGATATTAACCTTTGCCGCAGTTGTCTTCGTGCCTTACCTTGCTAACCGATTGTGCGCGCACCATGTTTCGAAACAGTTCGATGGTGTCAGTTTCTGCTCCGATACAAGGACAGTCCTCGCTCTTGGCTCGCCGTTGCTCCTACAACAGTGCAGAACACTCGAGCTTCTTTTGTCTGTGCAGCTGCCGCACGAGCGCCCCTATACGGAAGTCAATCTTCAGTTCTACACGCTTGAGAGACTTCCAGCCACAAGATCAACGAGTAACGCGGCGGAGCATTCTGCTCATAGACGGTGTATCTGCAATTCGTGGCCTATGCTTTTTTTTTTCCCAACTCTTCACCACCGCTATCAGGGCCGCCACCGAAGATGCCGGATCCGAAAAGAACCCCTGACCGACCGGCCAACCTTGACCACGGAAAAGACACGTCAAAAGGCTCCCCTATCGGCAAGTCATGGTTGCCTTGCCTTCCTCGGTACCCTCGTTCGGGAGATGGTCGAATAGCAGCGTTGACGTTGCACGGCACTTGCACTTCACTTTACGCGATGCCCGTCTCCTGAACAGGTCACCCCTGGATTACGGGTGACGTTGGCAGAGGCTTTGATTAATTGTTTGGCTCCGGATACCGCAGTTGTCAACTCCGAAAGCCCCAGCGGCCAGACCGGCCCCTCCTTTACGAAATCTGGTTAAAGTGCTGTCTCCGTGCCTTGTTGACACGCTGGCACTCCGGCAGCTGAGGGACACGTCCCCTTGTCCGGAGCGGACGGCTGTGAGGTTCAATAAGGAGCCGAAGCCTCGGGATTTGGGCATCGTCTGCCGTTGCGCTGCCTCCACCCTGTCGGCTGACTGCCCGAGCGATGCCCAGGCAGTGATGGTCTTCAGAATTTTGCAAGGACCGAGAGTGCGACACGCGCGCTCGCGCGCCAAGAATGGCGATCGGGACATATCACGGATTCAATCCTATTTGGATCGCTCAACTTCACCTTTACCCAAAGGGCCGAAGCTGTCTGGCTTGAAGCATTTGCACAGCACCCAGCACGACTCGCATGACAGTGAATTTCGGGTCTCCGTCGCATGCCGACTGACGCTCATTGGGCACATCATTGGCTTGACAGTTTTATTTTATTTTTCTTTCCTGAGAAATGAAATCATCGGACCAGGGTGGAAGGGGGTGGTCGCATGAAGGAGAGTTCCCACTGCTACCGTGGATCGAGGTGTGGGAAGAGTTAGATCTCTGGATTTTCTCGCCCTTCCCTCTCACTGGTCGCTGCCTCAACGCGCCATGTGGCCCGGCCGCACTCTGAAGTGCTGCGGGCTTGGATTGGTGCTGAGTTCAAATGACTCCCTTTCCCGCCTTCATTCCTACTCGCGAGCAGTGGCATGCTGGGCGAGGTCTTTCTATGCTAATTACCCTGCAGGTATCGGCCGATAATGGGCATCAAATATCGCCCGACAATCGATACCTCAGTCTGCCGTTGCTTGCTCCCGCGGCTCAAGTTGGGGCATGATTCAGCTCACACTAGCAATCTCCGGCGCAGCTCTTTAGACCTCGTCTTCTCAAGCCGATGGCTGGCACCGTTCCTTGTCGTTCGTGCAGGTCAGCACACGGACGCAAAGCTGGGACCTATCTCACCACATCCATATCTACATGCCGGTCGTCAAAAGAGCCTTCCTCGGCTATTGCTCAAGGCAAGTATCCGCTTACCCCTACCTGCGGCCATAATCGTATCTGCGATGCATCAACGACCATACGAAGATACGTCTGGCACAAAAAAAATTCGCTCCATGTACATCATATCCGTGGAGGACATTAGTCTCGATGCTAGCCCCAGTTGGTGTGTTCCTTCTCCTAGCAGTGACTTGCGTCCTCATCAGCATGAAGACTAGCAGGGTTCGGCATGTCTTAACCGCATGTTGTTGCGACGAATCATCAGGGGGCTTTTGCAATTCCACCAGATTCATGAATGCATGTTCTCCCTCATCAGGACACGTATAGCAGCATCGTATCCTCCTGGTACATCCGTCGGCGGGCAGGACTGGCGCGGATGGGTGAGACGGGCAACTCGGGCCCCAGCTAAGGCTCAGACCACATTAATTGACATATCGTTAGGGCTTCTCGAAGCCAAGCTGACGGGCACCTGACTGCTCACTCGGCCGTGTAGCTGTCTCGTCTGATGATCAGGAGTCGCATAGGCTGCAGAGTGCAGACTACAGACTGCAAAGAAGCAATTTACCTCCCTTCGTTGCACTCTTCGAGTACATTCCCCGGTTTTTGGAGAGCTCAAATGGCTCGAGCCTTTGAATCAATGGCTACGTGCATACAACAGGTACGCACTCTATGTGTCGTCCAACTCCTTCGCTACCGGGCTAATTGGTCCGCAAACGCATGGCCCCGGCGCCCAAGGATTCAGTAGGCCAGGGAAGCCCAAGGGCCTAGCAATAGCTCGTCGCGGGGATTTGCGACCCTACTGGACGTTGAGGCACCAGCAGTCGTCTGCCAACTCGCATTTGTCCGCGCAGAACGAGTATGCTTCACACTTTTTGGTCTACTAAGGTTGCTTTCGTCTCTGGTACCCGACAGGGCGTAGATGTAATAGATCAACAAGCGACAACCTCCTCCCTTGACTCGCGTCTCTTATTCTTAGGGGGGAACCTATTAGGTAGGTAGTCGTATTCTTTTCTTATTTTCCATCCCTCACCGGCTACCCGGCCATTGCGCTCAGGCGATGCACCGGATAATACCACTTCTGACTTTTCAAGGAGACATCGTAATATCAGTTCGCCGCACTTGCAATGGTGTTAGCGATACCAACTTCTGCATCAATCAGGAGAGCAGGCTATTCCTTTCCTACAAGCAGCTGAGTAACAATGATGCAAGTAGGCTGATTTGTGCTCGCCTGATTTTTTTGACGAGCTCAGGTACTAGTCCAACGTCAGTTGCATCTCGCCAAATCATGTTCTGGCTGCAACCTCGCCTGTCATCAATCACGGAGCCTCCTTGACTCGGCAATCTGCGATGAACTGCACTTTCATCCCCAGATGGTTCGGGGGCCTTCTAAAATAGCGTCCTACATGTTCACTCGCCCAGGTCCTCTTCTCGTCTACATCAAGAACGGTTTAAATGGAGTAATACGTACATGTAAGTCAACCTACCCGCTTTTCGCCATCCCCCCCTTTTCGCCACCCCAAAAATGCCTCCCAGCCACCCCATTATTATCCTACCTCAATTGATCAAACCGCCACAACAATTGCAATTATCGTCCAAATGCATTCCATTTTGGTATACTTATTTATCGATATGTCATGGTCGCGTATACCGAAGTTGAAGTCCAACGGGCTCTCAATGCAATTGAAAACGGTCTCTCTGTCAATAGGGCCTCAGTTGAGTTCGCTGTTCCAAGATCAACACTACGAAGTCGCATACAAGGAACCCAGAGCAGATCCAGAGGATTTATCGACCTCCAGAGGCTTTCCCCATGGCAGGAGGACAGCCTTGCCCAATGGATTCGTATTCAGCACACTCTAGGTGTCTCTCCAACACATGAACAAGTCAGAGAATTCGCTGAGCGAGTTCTGCGTGCTCAGGGAGACAGCAACCCTGTTGGCAAGAGATGGATCCAAGCCTTCCTGCGAAGGAATCCATCAGTTAAGGTCCAGAGAAGTCGTACCATCGATTCTAGACGTGTTAATGGGGCAACTACTGAGGTGATTAGGCCCTGGTTCCGATTACTCGACATACCAGAGATCAGGGGCATCAAACAAGCCAATAGGTATAATATGGATGAGACAGGTATCCTGGAGGGCAAGGGATCCAATGGGCTGGTCTTGGGCAAGGCAGAGACCAAAGCAGTGAGAAAAAAAGAGCCTGGATCGCGTGCCTGGGTGTCGATCATCGAGTGTATTTCTGCTGCTGGCAAATCCATCAACCCACTG